CCTTCTAGATGTCCCCGAGCCTGTGGGAAGGGTCCCCGGCCAACACAGGTGGCAAACTAAGTCCCCTTGAAGCCTGTGGTTCCCTCCGACCTGAGAAATACTTCACCCTCCTGTCAAATACGGAGCCCTCCTGTGAGCCGCCTGCCGGCCGAGCTGGCACCCACACGGCGGGGCAGAGACCTCCCATCGAAGGACGCGCTGCTCCCCGCCTGTTCCTCCCCACAGGGGCCGGACAGACTCATTGCACAGCCCGGCACCAAGTCCGCGGCCGCCACGGGGCTAGCCCGAGACACCGGCAAAGAGGAGCAAAGAGGTGACGCGCCTGAGCAAACTGTCCCTCTGCCGTCCCACACGCTAGCCACGGCCACAGCCACAGGGCTACTGGATTCAATGAACAGCAGTGAGAGTCAGGCTTAGTTCGTGCATCACGCTGGCCACATTTCGAGGGCTGTGTCCGCGAGCCACCGCCGTCCTGCCCTGGACATTAGCGTTAGCCACGCGCCTCAGGGCGCCCCGCCGCCCCGGGGCTGCCGAGGGGTGAGGGACGGGCCCGGCAGGGGAGGAGGGAGGCGGGAGGCGCGCACGTCCAGGTCTCCGGGCGGCCCCCGTGTCCCCAGCGGTCTCTTAGGTCTTCCGTTGCCAGCATGTCGTCCCCGGGTCCCTGACACTGGAGGCATGGCTGTGCCCGTCCCGTACTGCTGGCCACGGCCACGGGGGCTGGCGGCGGCTCCCTCCACGTCCCCCAGAAGACAGCGGGGGGATGCACCCCGGCTCTAGGTCGTCGGCAATGTGCACCCACCCTGCCACCGCGCACGGAGCATCGAGCACCACGAGCGTGCTGCGGGTGCTGGCGACCTCGAGGCAGCCGTGCGGACACGCGCAGACGTCCACGTACCTTCTCCTGAGCTGCTGGCAGGACGCGGCGGCACCACGGCCAGCAGGGCCAGGGCTGGGGTCAGCACTGTCCACCCCGGGGCCATGCGGCCTCCCGCTCAGCTCAGCACCGCACCGGCCGCAGCAGCTGGGGCAGAGGAGTGTGGGGGAGGACCCGCAAACTGCCCTAATGACTGGGTGGCCCTTCCGATCCCAGGGGGCCAAGAGCCTCTTGGTTAATACCTGGGGACAATCAGCCAACAGGGAGCGTCCCCAAGACGCTCCTGCCCCAGGGGCTGGGCCACTTCTGCAGCCCCAATGAGTGTCTCCAGGGTGCAAATGTGACTCCTCCTCGAGGCTCAGGAGCTGCTCCAGGAAAGTGACTCCTCCTGGAGGCTCAGGAGCTGCTCCAGGAAAGGGAACGTGGCCACCAGCCTTGGTGACGCATGGCAAACAGCTGGGGGCTCTCGGCTCGGAGGAGGGCCTTCGCGCCACACTGAAGCCACTTCCTCAGCGGGGGGAACAGCTGGGCTACACCTGGACTGGAAGCAGCCACCTCGTCTCGGACAACTCAGTTGTTGAATTAACAGATGGCACCATGTCCTCTAAAGTCCCTTCTCCCCGTGGGCTTCAAAATAAAATGGAGCGTCCACAGTTCAGCGCTCAAACCCCTCGACAGGCTGGCCGCAAACGGCTTTGGGCCTCTGGCCCCTGGGAGGTGGGGGGACAGCGGCCGCCTCCCCCGCTCTCTGCAGTCACAGCAGCACGACATCTGTCAGCACTAAAGGGTTTGGT